ATATATATATATATATATATATATATATATATATATATATATATATATATATATATAATAAGAAAACCTTACAGTCATCTCACACTTTTAAGAGACTCATTTGAGTTTTTCCAAAGCATGCAAAACATTTTCAAGGGGAAATAGTAACAATTCTTTATCTAATTGGCTTACCTAACATTTAATTAACTTACGTGTCATTACAACGAGCGTAGAGGGCAGCCTCGGGTCTGGAGGGAGGCAACTGGCTGCTGTAGACCTTGAAGTCAGTTGGGAGAAGATGAGAGAAGGAAGAGCTGGGAGAGGCCTGGGATCGCTGGGCCTGTGAGATGTCTCCCTGGGAGCCAGAGCTGTCAGAAGGATGGCGAACTCAGCCCCCTCAGTGCAGGCAAGATGGGTGCAGGCTTCTGCTGCCTCGTGCCACTTCAGAAAGGTGAAAAGAATGGAGGCCACGAGGATCCAGCGACACTGCTCAAGCGTGGGAGTGCTGGGATTCTTGCCTCTCCACAAACCACAGGGCTTTGCATTTATGACCTCCAGGGTTTCTAGAATGGGGCAGATCTCTCTGGATCTTTGCCCGAGACAGCATGGATTCCAGCAGGGTCACTGACCCGACCTTATTTGAATGTCTCCAGAAATCTCTGTTTACTATAGAGCTGTGGTAATAAAAGCAGTGTTGCACTGGCATAAAAGCAAGACACATTGGTCAATGGAATAGAACTGAGAACCCACGTGTAAGCACACACCCCTACAGTCACCTGATTTTTGACTAAAAAGCCAAAAACACACACTGGAGAAAAGACAGCATCTTTAGCAAATGGTGCTGGTCAAGGCAGACAGCTACCTGTAGAAGAATGGAGCTATGCTTTATTTCTCACCCAGCACAAAACTCAAGTCCAAGTGGTTCAAGGACTTCAACATGAGACCAGTGCCCTGAAACTAACAGAAGAAAAAGTAGGGCATATACTTGCACTCATTGGCACTCTGAACAGGACTCTGACGGTACAGGCACTCAGGCCAATAATTAATAAATGGGACCTCATGAAAAAAAAAAGCTTCCATTCAGCAAAGAAAACCACCAATCAAGTGAAGAAAAGCAGTCTACAAAATGGGAAAAATTATTTACTTTACTATACTAGTCATATCTAGACTATACAGAGCGCTTAAAACAAAACAAAACATCCAGAAAACAACCCAGTTAAAACTAGTCAGGAGTTCTGATGAAATACAAACAGCTGTGAAATATTTTAAAATGTGGTCAAAGTACTCAGCTGTTAGGGAAATGGATATTAAAATTACTCTGAGATTTCAACCTACTCTCGTCATAATGGCGAGAGAAGAAAAGAAAATGATGTTGAATGTCAGAATGGATGTAAGGAGAGAGAAACACTTAATCCCTGCCTGTGGGAGTGTGAATTGGGTTCAGCCACTATGGAAATCAGTGTAGTGCTTCCTCAAAAAGCTGGAACTAGATCTGCCACGCTACCCAGCTATCCCACTCTTGAACACATGCCTGAAGGACTCTGTATCCTATCGTAGGGCTGAGTGATCATCCATGCTCATTGCTCCTTTATTCCCAATAGGCAGGAAATAGAAACAGCCTTCATGCCCATAAGGTGATAGGGGGATAATGAAAATCCAATATAGTCACACAATAGTGTAGCATTCCGCTACTGAGGTAAACGAATCTGGGTCTGGAGAGATGGCTCAGGGGTTAAGAGGACTCGCTCTTGCAGAGGACCTGGGTTTGGTTCTCAGCACCCCCATGGAGGCTCCAGTTCCAGGGGACCCAACACTTCCCTTCTGACTTTCTTGAGCACCTGGTGCACACGGGATATATATACCTACATTCAGGCAAAACAACCATACACATGAAGTAAATGTATGTTTAATTTAAAACAAAACAAACAAACAAACAAACAAACAAAAAAACCAGAGTGGTCTTATGTCTAAACCCACCTTCCCTTCTCTAGAGTTGGCTTCTTAGACCAAGGAGTCATCGCAGACCTGTCGTTCCTGCTGAATGATCATCAGGTGGTCTGCAGAGAGAACCTCCACCAGGCGTACAAGCATCTGGCGCAGCTGCCTGAAGGTAGGGTTGTGTCGTCACGGGATGGGGCGTGCCGTTGTCTTCCCCTCCTGGTAAGTTGGTGCCAGGCTGAAGAGCTCAGCCTTTTGTTGCTCCTTTTAAAACAACCTTGGAGCAGGCCATGGTCGTGTGCAACCTCAGCCCCCAGCTCCTCCAGAGGCTGAGGCAGTTGAGGAGAATCAGCCTGGACGTCAGAGTAAAAAGACTTTGTCTCAAAACCAAAGCAGCAGCAGCGGCAACAAAGTTACCTTTTTGTTAAAACGACATCCACTTTTCTCCGTGTGGCCCTGGCTGTCTTGGGCCTGGCTCTGGAGACCAGGCTGGCCTCCGACTCAGAGATCTGCCTGTCTCTGCCTCCCCCGGGTGCTAATGCATTTTGCAAAGTTGGGAGTGTTGCTCAGAAGTAGGATAAAGACCCCGAGTTCCATCCCACCATCCACTTTTAAAAACGCAAGGGAGTCCATGTTTACAATAAACGAACACAAAAAGTTAGCCTCGTGGCCTGTTCCCAACACTCCAAGCCTTTCCACAGGCCCCATTCTGGGTTCCTCTTCATCAGGGTGACTCCTTCACTTGGTAAGGTCACATGCTGGCCTTTTTCTTTTGGGGGGAGGGGTACTGGTATTGAAGCCAGGCTTTCACATATGTTTACATTATTCCGAGATGGAACTTACATTCCTTGTTTAGTTTATGATGATACCGATTCTGTTTTAGGTGCTTTCGTTTAGTGTTTCATTTCCGGATCACAAGTTAAAGGTTAGAATTTGCATCAAGTATTAGAGTACATCTATTCTGATGCAGGATGTCCAATTGTATCCACTCAAGGCACAGATACAGTCTGAGTGCCCTCTGGATCTCTTTCCCCAAGGCACCCTTCCTCTTGGTCTCCCCTGAGCTATAACCTTATAACAATATGTACATAGATTTTTTTTTAAACACAGATACAGTATATAAAAATGTATATGTATAATGTTGTTTTACATATTTTAAATCTGCGTTAAGTGGGTCTTGCTATATGTATCCCTTTGCAACTTAAAAGTACTCCAAGAAGCAACATAGATTATAAGATTGTTATTGTATATGTGATATATATCTCTTCTCACAAAGCACCACAGCTGTGATGGTGATGATGCTGTGTATGTGTTGTCTTGTGTGTGGAGGGCAGAGGGTGACTTCTGAACTTCTGGGAGTTGGGTCTTTCCTTCCATCTTGTTGAGGTAAGGTCTGGTTTGTTTCTGCTGCTGTCCTGCATACGCCAGGCTAGTCGGCCCATGGACTTCTAGGCAATTCTGGCTCCACCCTACATTTTTGCCTTAGGAATGCTGCGATTACAGATGTCTGCCACTGCGTTCATTTATTTCTTATTATGCGCATCCCTGGGATAGAATTTAGGTCACCAGGATTGTGTGGCAAGTGCTTTTACCTATGGAGCCATCTCACTGGTCCTCATAGCATAACCATGAAATGTACCCAGGTTGTATTGAAGTGTCTTGCACTCTCACTGTACTTGTTTGTCATTTGAGTATATTATGACATGTTTCCATACCGCTGTCTCCACTTCCGGGCTGTGGAAGGAATGAGTAATGGACATCTCTGCACAGACTCCCATGGTGCATAAGAGGGATGCTCCTAGGGTCTGCCAGGGAAGGCATTGCCAGCCTCAGACACGTGCCTGCTTTCACCTTTGGGGGATATCAGGATCGCTTCCCCACCTACCCTCCCCCGGCCAGCCCAGCGTCATCCTTGTCAGTCTGCCCAGTGGGGTGCTCTGGTAGGCTCACTGCTGTATGGTGTTGCTCACAGTAAGAGGAAACATCTCTCTGCTTGGCACTACCCCAGTCTTCTCTCAACTAGTACCTCTGGGGAGTTGGGATCCATTTTGCCAATTAGTTTTGTTGTTATTGTTTCTATTCAATTGCCAACTTGATGATCTCTAGAACCACCTAGAAGATGGGACTACCTTGGGTATGTTGACTGGGGTGGGAAGAGCCTCTCACTGTGTGGCCTCATGCCCTGGGCCTGGGATCCCAAGGAAAAAGGAAAAAATGAGCTGAACACATGTACTGATCGCTCTATGCCCTTTAACCGTGAGTACGACGTGACAGCCGCCTCCTGCTCCTGCTATTGGGACTTTCTTGGAGTGGACTATTCCCGCCTCTGTGACCAAATAAACCATTTCTTCCTTAAACTGCTTTTGTCAAGAGTATTTTATCCCAGCAATAGGAAAGGTAACAGAGATGGATAGCTTCTCATTATTTGTTCCTTTTTTGGCCCTAAAGGTCTTCATCTGGGAGCCAGCCTCGCCAGCCTTTCCTTTGCATTTTTCCCTGAGGTGGGGGATTGCTGCAGATGGCAGTCCCGTTCATCCCGAGTTCTTAAAGACATTCCGTCATGTTTCCTAGGAAATACGAAATTTTGCTTTCCATTCTTGCCTTGTGAAGGTTGTACTCCGAATGGTGCCTTGCCCCCTTCTTTCTAGACCTTGCCAACCAATGCTGCCATGGCTCTGAAAGCGCTGGGTGATCTGGGTTCTCTCAGATGCTTCCCCATCTCCACATAGAGCCCAAATGACAACAGGAGGAGGAGGAGGGGGAGGAAAAGGGGGAGGAGAAGGGGGAGGAGGAGGAGGGAGGCTACTGTGCTGACAAGCAAGACTTCCTGGAGATCCCGGTACCCGCCATGTTTGACTTGGTGGATGCTGGTAGCTGTGGGCAAGGTCCCCAGAACGGAGACCAGGGAAGCCTGGTGGAGAGACTAGCAGCAAGGGCTTGGGTGATGACTGGCAAAATGAGCAGAGGGAGGGAGGCAGGTAGGCGGATGCCCGAGGAGGTCCATCTTGGGGTCACCTTGGTGGCCACACGGCTTCCTCGCCGGGCCTCAGGTCAGGCGTGGACTTACTCTTCAGTGTCCCTCTTATCAGTAGCAGTAGCTAGTTGGTGGAAGCCCGAATTCCGTTACCTGTGTAGTTTGGCCAGGTGCTCAGCCATCTTGCAGCATATGTTATGGGGTTTCCCGTCAGTGGCTGTATTGGGAGGCTTTTCTTTTTTTAAATTATGGCACCCTTGGTGCCCGCTGCTTCTATGGCATTACACGTGCCTGGCCTCTAGAGTACCTTGTGTGTAGCTAATACTATCCAGCAGGTGGATGTGCCCGGAGAATCCTTGCAGCTACCAGGGTCTGACTTGTTCCCAGGATCACCAGCAGGGGGCGCTCCGGCACTAGGGCCTGACTCAGCCTGACGCCCTAAGGGGTAGGCCTGTTACGAGAAGAGAAGCCAAAATAGAAGAGATAAATGCCACAAAGGGGCTTCCAGGCCGGTTGCCCCAGGAAGTGGTGGGCTTGAGTGTCCACCCAGGATCCTCTCTTGTTTCAGGCACTGACTAGGTGTCTGGGCGAGTTTGGCTTGGTCCTTTCTCATGTAACTCCCTCCTGCTGTGCCTGGATGCTAGCCCAGATGGCAGTATAAACTCACTGTCTCTCACTATGATGTGCAATGCCTGGACTTGGGTCGGGCCCTGATTGTACTCGCAAACAGCCAGCGATGGGGTAGGGTCTCCATCCATGGAAACCATTCCCCGGCTTCGAAGCACGCCGAGATCCCAGCGGGGCTGGTTGGCACCCCGAGATGTTCGCACATGGTTTCGAACCAGGTCAGGCTGAGACGCTGCAGGGAGCCATGTTGGCTGGAGTCCAGTGAGAGGCTGGACCCGCAGGGCCTGGCTTGTCCTCGAGGCGAAGGGCTCCTGGAGAAACCTCCCCTCCAGTGGGACACCTCAGCCGAGGGCAGGCAACCCTTGTTCTGCCACAGCATCTGCCCTTCACACCCAGCGGCCCGTGAAGCATTCCAGGAAGCCCCCGGTCTTGCCTCTGACACCACACTGCACCCTTAGCCAGGGTAATGTCTGGATAGTTGCTGTCACAGTTTCTGGGCACCACCTCCTCTTCTCCCCTCTTCCCCCTGGCACCTCCAGCTGGATAAAGCCTTTTCCTCTCTAGCGAGTCAAGTCTCACCAGCATGCCAAGACTCACCCTCTTGGGCCAAGCAGGCTTTCTCAGCTCTTCCCATTAGGTTTTTCCTGGCCTCCCCATCAGGTTCAAAACAGCCCATTACCAGTTGAATTAGGACAGGGATGGGGGTCTCCCGGGAGTGGACTCTAGGCTGTGCTGGCTGGCACCTGGTACGGGCACTAACCCCGGGCCCGAGGCACCTCGTTAGGCTTCTGTTGGTGAGATGCGTCCCTCAGGGCACCGTCTAGCCTCCCTCTGGAGGCTGCTCAGCCGTGTGGTGCAGCGCTGCCCTCTGTAACATCTGCCCCCGGGGCCAGCCTGGCACGCTTTTCTTCTCATTTGTCCTTCTGGTCTCATCAAGGGCCTGCACAGACCATACACAACCCTTTGGGGACTGTGGACTGGCCAAGTCGTTTGCCATGCTGTTTGGTGATGGGAAGCTGTCTCTGCACTCTTTTTTTGGTGTGTGCGAGGGCATAGGCCTATGTGTGTGTGAAGGCCGTAGGTAACCTTGGGCAGGAGTCCTTGGGAGCTGTCCCCATCTTGTTGCTGTTGTTTTGAGATGGGATTTTACTAGGGTGTGGGCTGGGCTGGCTGGCTAGTAAGCACTGCGGATATACCTTCTCCCCACCCCCCGCCCCCCGGTACTGGGACTGCAAACCCACACCATGATACCCAGCTTTTCAGTTGAATGCCAGGAACTGACCTCTGACCCTCACACTGGAGCTGCAAGCCCCTCACCAACTGCGCCATCCCCTCCACACCGTTTCCTCTTCGCAGAGTGGACTAGCTCTACCAAGGGCAGCAGGGATCCCTGGAACTGTGGCAGATGCATCAGTGACCGCTTGAGCAGCGAGGAAGGCGCTAGCCCCAGCTGGTGGTGTGTCTTGGGAGGGCGGCCCAGCCTCTGTAGCTATTCCTGTCCTCAGCGTCTCTCTTAATTTCCTCTGTGAGTACTGTTACCAGTTTCGCTGCTGAAGCTGTACTTACCTTGTAGGCCTCCCCTGGGCCTCGTAGGTTGGCTGGTTTCCCTGGGGGAAGGAGATGGGTCAGACAGTACCTTGCGGATGGAATCAGTGGAACCTGCCATAGTATACTGAGCCCTGGAGTAGGTGAGCAGGAGAAGGTGAGATGGGGAGGGCTAAGGCTTCCACCCAGGCTGAGGTGGATTTAAGCTTGGCCCCTCGGGATGGATATACGGAGGACTGTGAGGACGGACAGCAAGAGGGAGGGAGGAAGGAAGAATTGCCACAGGGGAACCGCAGTGGAGAGCCAGGGAGGCCAGCATGGTACCCAGAACGGGGTGTGGGAGGGAGGGGGAGGGCGTGATGGTTACCATTGACTGTGAACTGGACAGAATCTAGAACATTTCAGGAGCTAAGGCTCTGGGCATGCCTGCCGAGGGTCTGTGTGGATTAGCTGAGCCACTGGACAGGCCTGGGAAAAACGATCTAGATTAGGGAAATTGAGGAGGGAGGAGGACCCATCCTGACTCTGGGCAGCACCATGGCACAGGCTGGGTTCTAGATCAACCAAAAGGGAAGGAATGGGTGCTCAAGTTCCTGGCCGAGGAGACAGTGCTCTTAGCTTTCTTAGCTGCTCTTAGCTCTCTGATTTCCGTGCCTCAACGGCCCGGAACCTCAAACCGTGATCCGAAATAAGCCCCCGCCCTTTCCTTAAGCAGCCTTTGCTGGGTATTTTAATCACAGTGACAGGGGTCGGAGGGATCATGAGAAGGTGCCCACGCTTCTCTAAAGGAAAGCCATTTCCTGGGCCAGGCCTCCTCTGATCTCCGAGCACAGCAAGGGGCCAGAATCCTTCTATCTTCCCTTCAGCTGCGTATTTTTAGGTTGAAGATGCTCACAGCAAAACCACTTTTCTGTCTCACAGTTGGTATTAAAAGCACAAAATAAGTCTCAGTGACTTTCAGCCGAATATTCTAGCTCCTTAAATGAAAGCCCCGCTTGGGTCCTACCCACTGGTGACATGGGAACCTGTGGAGGGAGATACCCACGTGGGCAGGAGGGGTGGAGGGTGGACCAGAGGGCCAGGCCCACATGTCTGTCTCCAAGCACGTCTGTGCAGGACTTCGTGGCCCTGTGCTCGGGGCTGTGCCTGGAGCCCCCCGAGGGGGAGGCAGTTCCAGGGTCACTCTGGGCTCCTCCTGGGTTCCTGCCTCGTTCAGTGCGGTGTGGGGGTCCAGGGAGCCAACCCTGAGTTTCCCTGACTTGGGGGACTCCCCCTCATGGCTTGATTTCTAACCTGATCCTTCCCTGACTTCCTGGACTGGAAGGTGGTCGCCACCGGCCACTCACACAGGGGCTTTTTAGTATTGTGAGGGGTCTGGCTGCAGCTGGAGGAAGCCGTCGCTGGGCTTCTATCTGCCCTGTTCTCAACGCCCCAGGTCCCTCTGAACACAAAAGCCAGTGCCAGTATAGGATCTGTGCCATACTTCCTTCTGGGGAGCCAGCTCACACCCCTGGAGAGGTTATATGGGGTCAGGGGTCCCCATAATAGTGCAAGCTGGGCCAGTGCTGGGTGGGGCCTTGGGGACAGCAGAAAGGGGTCAGTGCCATCATCATTTGCAGCCTTCTATCACTCGAGGCCACAGGGGGCCTGGCAGGTCTATTCTCTCTCGTAGCTTCCCTCCTATTTTAAGTTCGCTCTTGCTTGCTGTTCATTCCAGAAGGATTTTTTATCTGTGCCTGTGAAGTGTGGAAGTGAGTGGGAGGGACCTCGGTGTGGAAGGTGTCTCTAGCTGCTCCTAAGGTGGCACTGAGCTAGCCACACATGAGCCACACAGAGCACACAGGAACAAAATTTGGCTCCATTCAGGGTATTTTATTTTCTTAAAGTAGACAACCTTTGACTTCCATACGGTCATCAGCTCTCCTCTCCCTCTGTACATCTTGACTCCTTGGCTGCCATTCTGTACATTGACCTTGGACAGACAGGTACCGAACAGAGGGCTGAGATTTGGCAAGGGCTTTACTGGTGCCACACCCTTGGCAGGGGAGCACTGAATTCATACACAGCCAAGGGTCTTTCAAGACACTACCTGCGGGCCCTGGGGCTAGAAGGCCCAGCGTGCATGGTCCCCACAGGGCCTCCTTCAGGCCACAACTCTAGCTGTGCCTTCACAGGAGTCGGAGCAAGCTCCGAGCCCACACCAGGCTCGGAGCATGCGAGGATGGGGTGGGGCTGTGCAATCTCCTGCCTCCCCCTTCCTTCATTTGGCAAAGCCACAGTTAATTTAAACTTCAAACACCAAGACATTCAGCTACTGTTCATTCGCTCCTAGGTAAAGAACCTTCTTTAAATACATCACATTTATTTATTTATTTTTTCTTAAATAAAAACAAAGCAGATAATGGCACCAAGAACGGGAGGACACCACAGAGGTTTATGTACACAATTCCCAGGAGGCTGGCGTGGGACATCTGCCCCAGAATTCTTTGGAGCCGAGGAGCAGGAAAGTCCAGATGATGACTTCTATACTGAGCAAGCCAGACGATAAGGGGACACCTGAAATGAAATGCGTTTTGAAAATCTGCATTTAAAAAAAGAATATTTAATCACATCCGAAAATTGTCCATAGTTTTTTTTTTTTTTTCTTCCCTGTGAAACATAAATTTTGGCCAAAAATAAAGATTTAAAAAAAAAACAAAAACAAAAACAAAACCCAAAAACAAACAAACAAAAAAAAAAAAAACAACAAAGATGCCAGAGAAGAAAAACCAGGTTTCCATTTATAAAACGTCAGGCCAGTAGAAGAAAAGCTAGAAATCCAGCTGGCCTAGTTTGAAATAAACGATGCCACTCATTTTCCTGTGTTAATTTTTGCTGCGTACTTTTTAGCTGTTTTAAAAAGAGCCACCAGCGGTTAGAGGTCTGGTTGGTGCAGTCCTGGCCTCCCCAGGTCCTGGGTCTAGGACGGATGTGCTGCAGAGTGGCCTAGCCGGCACACAGTCCCTGCTCCGGCCCTCCCTCACGGTCAGCGGAAGTCCCCAGTCCAGAGCTCAGTTGGTGAGCTGGCCCCTCTCCCGGGCAATGGGCACAGCCAGCCGCAGCCGGCCCCAGCCCCGCAGCCTCTCCCCATCAGTCTGACGAGAACCCCACCTCCCTGTAGAAGTGGGGGTCGACTCAGGAAGGCAGGGAGCGGAGGCAAGATGGCCATGGGATGGACTTGTGACAGCGGCGGCTTCTTAAGACTTCAGGAAACCTCGACACTTGGGAGAGCTCCGCCGCCTCCAGGTGTGCACGGGTGCGTGTCTGTGTGTCTACCTACTTAGCAACCTATCCAAATATGTCTGTGTTTGCAGAAACGTGGGGCCGTGAGGGCAGAGGCTGGGAGGGGGGTGGGGGGTGGGGGCACATTCTTCAAGCACCCCCGTTTACTGCCCCTGGGTCGGGCGCCTCTCTAGCACGGGCTGGGGTGCGGGCACCCCCCCCGTGGGTTTCGCCACAGGCAAGCAGGCCGCGCCTGGCTCCTCAGCAGAGGCCAATGTACTTGAGGTTGTTCTGGATGATGACATCCGTCACCGCGTCGAACACAAACTGGATGTTACTGGTGTCGGTGGCGCAGGTGAAGTGCGAGTAGATCTCCTTGGTCTCCTTGTTGCGGTTCAGGTCCTCGAACTGGCGCTGGATGTAGACCGCGGCCTCCTCGTACGTGTTCTGGCCCTTGTACTCGGGGAAGCAGACGCTCAGGGGGATGCGCCGGATCTTCTCCGCCAGGAGGTCCTTCTTGTTCAGGAAGAGGATGAGCGAGGTGCTGATGAACCAGTTGTTGTTGCAGATGGAGTCAAAGAGGCGCAGGCTCTCCGCCATTCGGCTCTAGGGGTGCGGGGGGGGGGGGGGAGATGCTGGTGTTAGTCTCCCGGTGGGTGAGCGGAGAGAGAGAGAGAACTTAGACCCACAGCCTCGCTCTTTTGGAGACTGCCCGCCCGGCGCTGGCTAGCCCGAGACAGCACCCTGCTTCTGACAGGCGTCCTTCCCTCCTTCAGGTCAAACCAGTTCTTCCCCATCTCCCCCAGAGACAGCTGACAACCTCCTTCACCCTGAGTGCGAGGGGTTTCCTGCCCTTTCTGGTCCCCCACTCTGGGCAATGATGCTCAGTGGCCTCAGTATGCGGCTATGAGGTTCGCATGCAGTGGGTGTCTGGTCATGCTGTCTGCGCAGGCTGGCTTGCGCAGACAGAGTGAGGGTGACATCCTAGGGCAGAGTTGTGACCAAGCAGATAGAGCCTAGCCCCTGGTCCCTTCTACTCTTTGCCTCTCTCCTTTTTTTGGGGACACGCAGTGAGCGTACTGACTCCAGGTCTCAGGGACTACGTCTGCCTCCCCAGGACACAGACAAATCTTATTTCTAAAGTGAGTAGCTGTCCGTACCTGGAGTCTCTGCTGGTGGAAGCTGCCCAGAACTTTAAGATAAATGGAACAAGCTCTCAGAGAATTCTAGGACCAGCTTTCGAGCATCATTGGTGGAGATGCTGGCCAGTGAGTGAAGCTGGCCTGGACAAGGTGGATGTGAGGCCTCAGCAGCCCACCCACAATGACGGAGACACCGATGATGATTCTGAGCAGGAGGTGGGGCCTGTGCAAACCTTCCCCATTCCATCCTACAGATGGAGAAACTGAGGCATGGAGAGGAAGGAAATGTGCTCCAAGTCCCACGCCAGGGGCCTTGGGCTCCAGAGTGGCCTGGGAGCACAGTTCTAGGAGCTGACACAGAAGCCAGCTCTCCAGACCCTGTGTCCTCTGAGGTTCAGGCTTTGGCAGAGCTTCTGCGGGAGGAAGCAGATGTGAGGAGAGGGGAGGGCGGACGAAGGTAGGACATTCGTTACCCGGAGGCTGCCCCCCCCCCCCCCCCGAAAACTGTGTTTTGCAAATGCAGCCTTTAGAATTTATATGTTCATTACAGAGTCACAAAAGACTCTAAAATGCGGGAAGTTTTTGGTGTGCTCTGAGCCTTCCCGCCGAGAAACAGGAATCTGGCTCCGGAGCTGTGCAGCGCACGGGGGGGGGGGGGGGGGGGAAGGACCAGCACCTTCCCTGCAGCCAAACCAGACCTGGCCAGGAATACCCCCTTCTACTGGGAGAACAATTAGCTCTAATGGGTTCCTGGAAACTGCCTTGTGAAAGGATGGCTGTGGGAACGGAGCTGTCACTTCTCACAGAAACGATGTCATAATTGGGGCTTTTGCTTCTGACTCCCAGTTCTGTATCAGATATGGCTATTAGCACATATTCTTCAACTCATTGAGCAGCCTTGCGGAGTGTGTCCTGGGTGCACGGGCCACGTCTCTCACACTTGATGGAGATCTCAGAGCTGTGAGCCTTTATGGTGACACTGGAAGGCATCTAGGGGTGGACTAGGCCTCCCGTGGCCTGCGAGGGGGGATGGGAAGAACAGAGTGTGTGTGTGGGGTGATGGTTCCCTCAGCCCCCACGGGTCACGTGATGATGGCAGAGGTGATTCTTGGGCCAAGACCAGCCCAGCAGTTTTCGGAAAGTGGGATGCAGCTTAGAGGAAGGATGGAGAGTGGGTCGGGGGGGGGGGCTATGTAAAGGTGCTGTAATAGCATACAGTTGCTGGCCCAAAATCAGTCCCCTTAGGATGATGCCCATGTGAGGAGCTCAGCTGAAGAGATGCTTGCAGGCAGCAGCAGGTGGGGCACCTCATCCCCGAGACTGCCTCAGCCTCTCTGCCTGCTGTCTTAAGCCATCTGCGAGCGCTGCGGACTTCCCTCCACCCCAGCTGTCTGGACCCCTTTCCCGCTGGTGCCTCTCCCAGACTTTAAGGACCCTGCATGACTGAGCCTTTCATCTGGGACTCAAAAGAGACTTTGAGACCCAGGCGCTCAGCTCACAGGGTGGTAGGTGGCAGAAGGGGTAGGATTAGGTACCCCGGAAGCCCCAGATCTTCCTCTATCTCAGGCTCATCCTCATACCCCAGGACCTCTCACTCCACTGCAGCTTCAAGCTCCGGTCTCCTGGTGGCCTCCTCTATCTTGTGAGGATTGCAGAGCCACACCGACCATCACTTAGCGGCCCTCTGGGAGACGATGCTCCTGTCCCCTGGGACCTACCCAGAAGAATTCAGAAACCCCTGCTATGGCACTGGCCCATAGGCTCACAGAGACACAGGGCTCCGGAGTCTTCCGAGCTAGCCGCCTCTTTCTGTTCTGCAGGGGGATTCCTGGTGTTGAGTGTGCTGTCACTGTGCAAGCACCAGAGCCCCATCAAGTAGACAGACACACCTGCCCCAGGAGACAATCAGGACGGTTGGTTAGAGGGCACAGTGTGGCCAGAGTAGCTCCAGTGCAGGGCCTGGCAAGAGAGGCGGGTACCGGGTCCCGCCCCTGCCCACAGGCGAGGGTCTCTCTGGTTGCCCATGGCTCTGTGGCAGAGGTGGGATGAAGAACAGTCACAATCAGGACCCCTGCCCGAACAGGGCTGACCAGAGGATCCCGTGGTCAGGGAGGGGTCTTGCACACGGCTCCAAAAGAGCTATGTGTGACGTGATGGTGGCGGTTCTGACCTGGTGCCCATCCCGGCCTCCTGTGCCCACTTGTGAGCCCAATGCCCTTGGACCCGGCTTCACAGTCACATCCCCACTCTGGGAGACTCACATGCTCAGTGGGCACCCTGCTGCCTCGGACAGCCGCCACCGGAGGAGCCCTGCTCTTCCAGGCTGTAACTCCAGAAGCCACACAGTGCCAGGGCGAGAAGGGGAGGGCAGCTGCTGGCCTTCTGTCTGGCCTCCGAGCCTTCCTGCTGTGGTGTTCCAGCCTCCCTGCTGCGACACTCCTCGCCAGGCCGTGTTCTGCTTTTCCTGTAGAGCATCCCTCAGGCCCCTTACTCTGGGGGGGCCTGCTGCTCACCTCCCCCAAGCCACATCTCCCCGCCCATTCTCCCATCTCCGCCCGCTTGGCTCCATGGGTCACAGCTTCTTCTGGAGGAAGTATGGTGTGGACCCTAGTCTGGATAGCAACGGCTCCACTACCCCAACACAACCTGCTCTTGTTCCATCCTGGAACCGCAGGAGCTGCAAAGCAAGCAAGCCATAGCCTGCCTGCAACGGTGGCAGCGGGGGTGGGGAGGCTTTCCTTTCACACACGAGCCAAACCCCTAGGGCGGCACCAACTCGTCAGAGCTCGGTTTATTAAAAAAAAAAGAAGAAGCAAAGCATAATATCCTCCTGTGGTAGGATAGCTCCCTTACCTTCGCCTCTCCAGCTGCCAACAGTATGGCCATAGTGGAAGTGCTGTGGTTGGCAGCTACTGCAAGGCCTTGAGGGACCCTTTCACTACGGAAACGACATCTTCTAGGAGGCCGGGGCTCATGCGAACATTCATTTATATAAACACCACAGAGCATATGATTCTGACAGAAGCCGGGGCACTGTGGGGATTTTGCTGCTTGGCGGTGAGAACCAGCGATCTGCAGCAAGCCATGTCAGCCACACTGAGGCTAGTAACAGTCCCCGGGTGATTACAGCTGCACCCGGACATTTCTGAGATGTTGACATGGCTCCGTATGTTCTCCGTTCCACGTCGCTTCTTTTTGTCCAAGGGTTGGTGCCTGCCTGCACTTGGGCTTCTTACAGGGGGGGAGGGGAGCTAAGGGCATATTCCGGAGGACCTCTGAGCACAATGGCCTGAGAATCTGAAGGTCTTCATCCCCAGAAAAGCTTCCAGGTGCCAGCACCTATGGCGGCCAACCAGGACTGGCCCCTGGAACAATCCAGGAGGCACCCAGCAGCGGGTGTGACCTTGTGTCAGGCTAGCCAATTGGTTCCCTTTCTGCACACCTGGTGACACACTTGCAGAGGTCCCTGGTTATGCATCCGAGGTCTGGGCTCATTTTGAACATCGTCCTTCCGTGGGTTCTCTGTATCCTGACCAGGTAGGCAGCATGAAATGATGGCAGACGAGAAGGTGCAAAAAGCCTCCTTTTGCCAGTCACCAAGACTGCTTGCCCGCTTCTAGGGTGAGCACAGGTAACCGTACCCCTAAAACAGAGCAGCTGAGGGCTGAGGTGGGACTAGGCAGCTCAGGCCCTGGACCCAGGCTCAGCGAACTGCTGCCAGCGAGGACTTCTGCCAACAGTGAGGATGATGTAAGTGACACAAGGTGCATGGCGGCAGCGGGCATTTAAGCTGGGCCTTTGTGGCTGAGGGGCCTAGTCACCTGTGAATGGATCTTGAGGGGGAACGTGGCCAGGGGTGTGGTGTCACACTAGCTGAATGGGGAGTGGGGAGAGAGGAGGAGAAAGGAGGAGAAAGGAAGGAAACAAACGAGGGAGGGAGGAAGAGGGGCTACCCTGCCCTAGGCTTCAGTTTTCCTCACCTGTTGATCAAATTAGTTCTCATACAGTATGGGAAGTCCAAGTCAGCCTGTGGTAGAAAAGCCCAGAGTATTTTTCATGGGATAATGGATTCAGCTTTTTATCCTACAAAGCGGGGCTGGTCCAGGTCATGAATGACCTCCATTCACCAGACTGCCAATCTTGCAGCTTAGTTAGCAGGCCTGACCTAGTCAGCGCAACAAACGGCCAGGCTTGGAGGCAGTGACGGATGGCAGTGGCCTCACAGGTCTTACCGGATCCATGCCGGTGTCCGTCACAGACTGACAGCCTGTGACAGTCCGAGGGCCTGCCTTTGTGGTGGAAGGCTTGGGAATGCCAGGGTGAGGGGCTGTCTACTGGGTGGCAGCATGGCTTGAGGGTCTTGAGTGACTGATGGACGCCACGGCCATGACCTGTCCCAGTCAGCAGTCTTGGCATAGAACAGACTTCTTTGCACTGCCCAGAGGAGTACGGAAGGGCCAGAGC